TCAATGGTAGAATCCATTAGGGATATTTAATAAAAAAAATATATATTTTTTATTTTATGGAGCAATTGTAAAAATGTCATTTTTGGTGTGCATATTTGCAAGAATGCTATTTAGAGGTGTCCATTTGCCAAAATGCCACTAGTTGTGGATTTTTAAAACTCAAATCTTAAAATTATAAACCCTAAAAAATGTTTTGACCCCTAAAACCCTCAAAACTAAACCATAATACAACATAATTAGTCCAAACATAAATGGTATAATGAATTTTTTTTTTGAAAAAGTGGCAATTTTGCAAAGATTTTGAAAATGTGGCATTTTTGAAAAGTGGCACTTAAAAAATAACATTTTTAAAAAATTTTCTCTCTATTTTAATTAGAATTTTATTTTCTCAAAATTTATAAACATAGTCAAAAATTTATTTTCTCTAATGGTAAAATTTATAAACATTGTACGCGTATTTCTTTTTTTTTTTGTCAAAAAAATCATCGCCGAATCAATGGGTGAGATGTGTCACCACCTAAGAATCACCTAAAAACCACTTCTTAAATTTCTTAATTAAGGGTCGGTTCATAATAATATGAACAATTTTCATTTAATTTTAATCTATTTTACCTTAAGAAATTGCACCAAACATGGTCTTATATTAAATTGTGGGTCCATCACATATTATTTCTCTTTAGTTTTTTCCTTTATTTCTTGCCTCTTTATAAATTAAAAAACAAAGAAAATAGAAGGATCTCGGAAACATCAAGGAAAATCAATACCAGCTTTGCATTAACTAGACAACCCACCTATAAATACAAACACAAAACGGCAAAAACTAACACACAACTCACGAGACTTCATCAATGGCGAACATCTTCCTCATCACCAGTACATCAAGAAGAGCAAAGAAAGCAAAGAACCCTGAAGGAAAGAGATCAAATTCAAATACCAATTCAGACAGTAACTTCTCATGCAAGAAGCATACCAAACACATACAGTCTCCTGGAATCTGTTCCCTCTGTCTCAACAAGAAGCTCTCTAAGCTATCTTTAGAGTACTACGAGTACACTAAAAACGCAGCTGAAACGGCGTCGTCTTGCTGCTCATCATCATCTACTACTTCCACGTCGGTGGTCTCGTCTTGTTACTCTTCTTCTTCTTCTGTCTCTTCTTGTTCGTCTCCTTTGCAATGTCGGTATAGAGAGAGGAAGAAGAAAGCTGGGAAAAAACAAAGCTTTTTGTTCAGATTATTGCTTGGATCCATTGTAGATTAGTTCTTTGAGTTTTTTTTTTTGCTAAAATTAGTTCTTTGAGTTATTTACA